AAGCACTTTGTTTTATTTGTAAGAAATCAAGAAAGTTTTTCAGAATTTTGACATAATGAAAAAAAATCACCAGAAAAAGTGATCTTTTGAGGTCAATTTCCTTGGAAAAAAGATCAAAGGGTGACTGGGATGATACTGGAAACATTTATCAGTCCTAGCTTTTAGAGTTCTTGTCATGCTCTGGATTCAGTGACTTATCACCAGATAAGCTTCTGAAATTTACCAAAATAGAAGCAAGGCAAAAATAGGCAACAACTGGAAATAATTCATTGTTAAAGTTTTAAAATTTAGGGGTTGGGGTTTTAGCTCAGTGGTAGAGTACTTGCCTCGAATGTGTGAGGCCCTGGGTTCAATCCTCAGCACCACATAAAAAATAAACAAATAAAAATAAAGATATTGTGTCCATCTACAACTAAAAAAAATTAAAAAAAAAAGTTTTAAAATTTATTTTTGATATTTCAGTTTGAATCATCCTTAATTGGTTATATTATGCTAAGCACTCATGGGAAATAACTAAATTAATTAAATCAATATCTCCATCTGATATTGATAAAATGTGCTAACTTTTGTCATCAGAGCATGACTATCTATTAATGAATTATTCGAAAATACAAAGTTACATTATCTGCATCTGTGTTTGGGGCAGGCTATGAGGAATTTGGGATTTGGTTAAATGGATTTAGAAAATGCCTTTTTAAGTTAATATATTTGCATTTTTCATGAAATAGATGTATTTTCAATATTATATTCATCTACCTTAAAACTCTCACTACTAGACATGTGCACTTTCAAATCCACATACTTCTCAAATAGCTGTCCATTTATTCATTACATACTGGTTAAACACTTTGTGCCAAATACTGCTATAAACCCAGAAAATACTGGAGTGAAAAACAAGTAACCAACAAAATCTTTGCTTTGTGAAGCTGACATATTAAGGTAAGCCAAATAATAAACTAATTTTAAAAATGTATGTTAGATGGTAATAAATTCAGTAAAGAATTAAAACAGGAAAAGTAATAGTGTTTTAAATAGCAGTTTTAAATAGTCAATAGGTTTGCAGGAATACCTGACTGTTAAGATATAAAGGAGATTAGCCTCATCTAGTTTTGACTAGTTTTGAGAAGAGCATGGTATTATCTGACACAATTCAACAGGCTGGTTCTGGTTTCTATGTAGGGAATACATTGAAAGTGCTAATGACAAAAGCAGGGTAAAGATTTAGGAGTTCTGGCAGTAGAGGTGGTGGAAGTTTGTCAAAGTCTGGAGATATTTTGGAGGTAATGCCAAGAAGATGGATTTCATGTGGGGTGAGATTAAGAGATGATGAATAAGGACTCCTCTAAGTCTTTGCCTTGAGCTATTTGAAGAATGTAGTTCCCACTTATTTATTTGGAGAACAATATTGAATATTATTGGGAAAAGACAAAGTGATGTTTTAGATATACTAAGTTTGAAATACCTAGAAAGATCCAGATGGATTGTACATAAGTAAATAGATTAGATAGATGATAGATAACTAGATAGCTAGATATACAGATGAACAAAAAAAAAGTTCAGGAAGGGAAATAGATTGCAGTTATAAACTTTAAAGTCATCAATAGGCAGATGATAGTTATAACTATAGAACTAAATATGGCAATTGCTGAAGATGGAAAGAAGTTCTGATGCCTGAGCTGAGCGTCCACACCCAATACACCAGATAATGAATCAGCAGAAAGGAAACGGAGTAGCCCACAAAGTACTACAGGTTAAACTACATATATACAACAAAATTCAACAAAATATTTTATAGAAGAGGCTCTGATTACATTCCTACAATGTCACCAACTCAGAAAGCTGAGGGAGGAAGATCATAAGTTTGAGGCTAATCTTGGCAAATTAGCAAGATATTGTCCCAAAATAAGAAAGAAAAAAAGAGAGAAAGAAAAAGAGAGAGAGAAGAAGAAGAAAGAGGAGGAGGAGGAGGAGGAGGAAGAGGAGGAGGGAGGAGGAGGAAGGAGGAGGAGGAGGATGGAGGAGGAGGAGGATGGAGGAGGAGGAGGATGGAGGAGGAGGAGGAAGAGGAAAAGGATGAGTAAGGAGGAGGAGGAAGAGGAGAAAGAATAAGGAGGAGGAGGAGGAGAAAAAGTAAGGAGGAGGAGGAAGAGAAGGAGGAGGAGGAAAAGGATGAGTAAGGAGGAGGAGGAGGAGGAAGAGGAGAAAGAATAAGGGGGAGGAGGAGAAGAATAAGGAGAAAAAGTAAGGAGGAGGAGGAAGAGGAGGAGGAGGAGGAGGAGGAGGAGGAGGAGGAGGAGGAGGAGGAGGAGGAGGAGGAGGAGATGATCTGGGAATGCAACTCTGTAGTAAAACACTCCTGGATTCAATCCACAATACCACAAAGAAAAAATGAATTTATTAACAGTGGAAAATGTTGTCAACATAGTATGAGAATGGCCTTTTGAATTTAGCATACGTTTTTGTCACTGCCTCACTGGTGCTTCAGCAAGCTCTCATTCTGAGCAGTAATAGAAGAGGCTTACATAGAATGAGAAAAGCCAAATGAGGTAGACAATTACAACACTTCAAAACAGGGACAGTAAAAGGCTGAAGCTGGAGAAATTAGTAGAAGGTTTCCTGTCATGTCATTAGATAATCAAATATCAAAAAACATATTTAAAATTTTGAGCCAGATATAAAAGTTTTCTCTTTTTTTTTAGATTTTAGGTATAAACCACATTGTCTTTCAAAATTATTATTAAAATTAAAAGAAATTGTTACTGTCATGTTTAAGGCATTATTCTTCTTTTTAATATAAGCTCACAAAATAGATTTTATTATACCTATATTCTAAATACAAGCCCTGGGGGAAGCAATTTATTGGCTTTTTTTAGTCTTCATACATAGGCATGATGTAGCAAGGATTCAGTTCAGGCATGTTTAGTTCCAAAGTATATCATACTTAACTTGTACTAACTTGTAACGTGATAAGTATTGAAAGACAGGGACCAAGTGATAAGCAACATTCCTTTTGTATACTGGGAAAAGCCAAGTGCAAAAAACAGGACTTAATGTGATCTTACTAAATAGCTTACTAACCTAAGAAAAACAGTGTCATAAACAAGACAGAAAATTTGACTTTCTGATATTTATAAATGCAAACTGCTAGGAATCTTGAATAAAAAAAAAATAGTCATCCACTTTTTTTGTCTCAAGTGTGCCATAAGCATTATGAAACAATTTACCAAATTACAAAATAAAAATAAGAAAACAATGCAATTCAATTCTACTGTGAAGTCAAAGGTTTGAATACAGTATGTTATATGTCCTATAAATGGATTGTGCAGTAAAGGAAGGTGAGGAATCCAAAGTTAATCTCCTATTTAGCCTACTGGACTTCTATAAAGTTTTTCCACTTGAGGTGAAAATACCAGGACTCTGTTCACATATGAGATTAATAAGAAAAAAATCTTTAAGAATGGTGACTTTCTGAATGTTTTCTTTTCTTTTTTTTTCAAACTGATATCCAGAAACACAAAAATTCCTCTTACCTTCAAATAAAATCTCAGTCATACATATTTTTCATGTATGAAGGAACTGATTAGACACTGATTACTTCCTGTCACTTTAAGGTAGAAATCTGACTTACTTTCTTTCTATTCCATTAGTTGTCTAATCTCCCCTGATTTAATGGTATCCTTGTTATACAATTTTGATTATTGATAATGAGATATTGCCAACAGTAGCAAATTCCGATTGATAATTTTATTTTCTAAGTTTACGATACTCTTGTATGCTTTTAAAAAATCCAAACCTTTATTGAGATAGTAAAAAGAAATTATATGATGTATGAAGTCCATATATCAAAATTCTATTTTACATAATATATTAATCACATATATGCCCCAGTAGAAATATTAAAAAGCATATTATTCAAAATTGTAGAAAAAGAAATTTTTTGATCTATTAAATACAATCTATGATCTGTATGTAATTGTAAAAGTCCTTAATCTTTATTTTCATTACAAATAAATAATATTGCACAATTAATAGATTGGTTATGTTATTGCAATTAGTAAACATGAAACTACAAATGATCTTGGGAATTAAAAGCAGTAAATAATTTATTCTCTTTTCCTCTTATCTAAAAGCCCATCTAGAGAATGATTAAATGGAATGCATAGTTGAATTTTATTTTTAAGATGACAGCAAACACTCTTGCAGCATGTTTTTAAAGCAAAATAAATTAGGAAATGTTGTATTAAAAACATAAGCCTTTCTCTTCATAAACTAGTTACTTTTCAATTTTATGAGAAATAAATTATTTTGTATTATTTTACATATATATGTATATCTAAAATCTGCACATATATTCACACTTAAATTTTCTCACTTGAGATGTATATATTTTATCATTTCTTAATGACCCATCTGTGAATATGAGTATAAATTGGATGAATGTGAAAAGACATTCTTTTCAGGAATTTGAACTCGGGTTTTTAAGCAAACAAAAGTGAACTTGTGTTTTTAAACAAACAAAAGTTATTTTTTAAGATAAATAACACCTTAACATAAAGTTTTAAAATGGCTAGATTTTATGATAAATACTTTGTATTGCTACTGGTAACTTCCATGACATTTTGCTTATTATTTTCTACAAACACTTGAAATTCTATACTAATTTGCACATGCAATAAAGTGCCTGATGAGAAAAATCTAGAAATAGTTTTATCATAGGCTGAGATATTGAGCATTAGAAATTCACTTGGGCATAATGGTCAACAGAAAGCTGGAAAACCATATCCTAATTATTATTTACCATTTAACTAATTTAAATAGAATATTAAAACACAGCAAATATCTTCCCCTGAAACAATTCATAAAGTTTCTGTCCTGTTCAATTTAAAAGTAAGTTTAAAAGATAGGAATGTTTTCTTAACACAGTCCTGTAAGCATTTAATCAAGGGATTAATAATCTTTGGTTGAGATATAATTAAAACAATTAAGTAAATAAAACTCACCTTATCCACGATGCATATCTGTTTCCTGGTTTGAGCATCAAGGATTTCTATCTCAAAGTGAGTAGTTTTTGAGTGCTTGACTGCTGGAGTTGCTTTTAGAGGGCCTGCTGAGAGTACAAGTTGCGACAAAGAGTGGAAATTTCTTATATCATTCTTCATTATGGACCGTGAAACTCTTTGGAAGAATAATTCTCGCTTGCGATCTGAGGCAAGGGACCTGTGTCTTTTGAACATTGTGTGAACTAGCAGGAGAAACTGTCATGCAAACAGGAGACACTTGCAAGTGAGTCCCCTTTACACCAGTTAAATACCTCTGGCGAACTCCTGAGAGGTCAAGTGGCATGCCATTCCGAGAGTTCAGTTTTATTTAGCAGGCTTGAAAACAATGACTGATCTTATTTCTATATATAACACACATTAAGAATTGCTGCAGTGTTGATAGGGTATTACTTTACCAGCATTTGAATTATTTCTTGCTGTCTCTTTTTATCTCTGCTTCTTAATATGACCACTCTTATCTGAGATTCCAAAGCATGAAAATAGATAGTTTTTATTATTTCTGAATTCTGGATGCACTTATCTTCAAAAACATGCATACTGTTGCATGCACATTCACATTAAGCTATATTTAACTTTAGTTAAATATAGTTAAACCATTTCATAGTTCCAATTATGAAAAATTGCATTATGTAACATATTTTAAAATTTATCTTAAGAAAAGACTAATGTTATATATATATATATATATATATATATATATATATATATATGTTAATATATATGCATATTTACATTTACAACATTCTGAGAGATTTATTTTCATTTATTATACATTTCAAAAAACTCAAGATACATCAAAAAATGGTGAAGTTTTCACTCAATACATGGAATGAAAAGATGGTAAAAAATGAGATTAGAATACGTAGACAACAATTTTATAACTTAGGGAGAAGAACCTAATCTTATTTTAGCATTTCTACACATTCTGTGTCTTCGGAAAATTATTGAATTGATATAGAAAATTAGTACTAAACATCACACTTCCCACAACATCAAATTGGGGCAAATTTAAATGATCTCAGAATAAACAATGGAATGTGATAAACAACCTGGAAAGAGAGATTTTCATAAAGAGACTGCAACTATTCTTAGATTTTATATATGGTGAAGAAAAATTAGCAAGAAAAAATACTCTAAAATATATTGTCAGTGATTCAAAGGGATATTAAAGGAGAACATTCTAGAATGTTATTTTAAATAAAAACATTTAAAGGAAATGGCTAAAAGTATGGAGGAAAAAAATTCAGTTATGTATATGAGGCTACCCTTTACTTTTTAAAATAAATATAATTTTTTTTCAAGTGTTTACTACACAATAAGGACATCAGTTTCATTTATATATGGTTCAGTTATAATTTCATGTTGTACATCATCATTATACTCAATATTTTGTATTTTCAAAAGCATAAAAGTAGAGATACATGTGCATTTACATGCATTTATATGTGTGGAAATTTGCACAAGCATTTGCATACACTTCTGTGCACATGTGTTGCATAACCTTAACTCAGTTGTTCTGGACTCCACATTTGGAGTGATTTTTTTACCCATACTTAACATCTGATTCATCAGAAATCTAGAATGCATTCTATTCACTATCCTCATAGCTATCATAACATCATCTGCCTCACTTTTATCATTTTTCCCAATTGATCTCCCTGGGAACATTTGCCAAACTATATTTCATTTTAACATAGCAGTTTGAGTAATCCGGTTTTATATCTGGGCAATTAATTTAGTAATCTGCTCAGTACACTACAGGAGCATCTTATTTTTTCTTAAGAAAAAGCCATAATTCTCTACAAAAGCCTACAGTGCTCTACTCCATTGAGCACCCTATTACATTACTGATCTCATTCTCTAGACTATCTACAGTTCCTAAAACAGAGACTGGCAAATGGTGAGTACTCAAGAAACATGGAGTAAATAAAAAAAATGAATGTATGAGCAAGAATTACATCTTGAAAGAGTAGAAGAATGATGTATTTCTAACTATGTGTACTGTATAAAATGACATAACTATGAGCCATATAATCTTTTATCAGAGATAATTTATATTTTAAAAAAGAATAGTCAAAAAGATAAATATAGGGCTGGGGAGGTGGCTCAAGCGGTAGCGCAATCGCCTGGCGTGGGTGCCGCCCAGGTTGGATCCTCACCACCGCGTACAAACAAAGATGTTGTGTCCGCCGAAAACTAAAAAATAAATATTAAAAAATTCTCTCTCTCTCCTCTCTCTTCTCTCTCTCTCCTTAAAATAAAAAAGATAAATATAAAAAAACAACCTAAGAAAGCTCCCATATCCAAAGTCAGAATAACTCAACAGCAATACAAGTATCAAAATAATGTATTGTAACTCAAAAAACAATAAAATACTGATAAATCCATACTGTTATAAAATACATGATAAAAAAGGAAAAAAAATTCTTTATAACAACTTCAAATAATATATGTAGATACCCTCTCCTTAAGTATATATTTTACTGAGTGACAGACTTACAAAAATTAAGTAATGCAGAGAGAAACATGGAAACTCTATAGATAAGAAATCTGGCAGACAGTCTGTATCTTAACAATGTGACTGAGTCTCATATCACCCCAAATATTCACTTTTCTATCATGAACTCACTATCATATGAGATCAGAATACCTCATCTATGTGTTATTGCCCCACAGCTTATTACTTGAATACAACTGTGAAGACAGAAAGTACAAACAGTGGGGCATTCCAGCAAGTATTCAACAATACTCTTTGAAAGTCTAATGAATAGGCCAGGCATAGTGGTGCACTTCTGTAATACTAGAGGCTCTTGAGACCGAGCCAGGAGCATAGCAAGTTGAAAGCCAGCCTCAGCAATGACAAAGCTCTAAGCAACTCAGTGAGTCCTTGTCTCCAAATAAAGTACAAAATAGGAGTGAGGATGTGGCTCAGTGGCTGAGTGCCTCTGAGTTAAAAACAAACAAACAAACAAAAAAACTAAGACCTCTAATGAATAGGGGAAATAAAGAAGAGACTGACAAATTAAAGAGAAAGATGCTAAATTTCAGGAATTTAGAGATTTCAGAGATTAAAATATTCTTGATACTCTGTTTCCAAGGTTTTTATTAAAATATTCCAAACATAAAGTATAAAATAAACAACCACCACCAAAATAATAATTATTATTCTATTAATAATAATAAAGGTATAAAGAGAAAATAGAGGGGGGATGTTTCAAGATGATGGAATAGAGAAGGTTGCTTCCCTGACTACTCTGTGGTATGAGAGCAAGACTGCAGAAAAGCAGCTTTACATCATGGTGAGTGGAAAAAAGAAAACAAAAAAAAAGAGGGATTTTGATGAAAACTAATACTGGACATTTAAAGCAGATTGGCGACTCAGTATCTTGGATATAATAAAATAAGGAAGAAAACCCCAGTGCCACTGCTGCCACTGGAGGTACCAGTCAGAGCTTTCCTTCTTCAAGCAAAGTGAAGGGATAAAGGAATTAAGGATACCTTCAGTTTTAGGCGGCCTGAGGCATGGAGAGTTCAGAGATCAAAGACACTGCCCAACTAAACTGAAAGGTGTTCTGCACAATATTCTTGTGCTCAGAGAAGCCGCATCTCTCCTGACAGTGTGCAGAGAACAAAGGAAGGACCCAATTTGCAGCTGCAGTGAAGGGTACACCAGCTGGGGAAGTTGATTCCTGGAAAATCTGAATTTGGCCTGAAATATGGGCCTGGAAAACTCACATTGCATGACATAGAGTGTACCTAGGTGACACTAGGGGAAATTCAAACTTGGAGAGGAGTTTACACAGGAGAATAGTGATTGTAGAAACCCATCCAGTTCTTCTCCTCCCCTTCCAATCCAGTTGCTCAAAAGATGGGCTAAGAGAGATGTGCCTGGCTCAAAATTCAAAAGGGCAGGGGCAGGAGATGTTGAGTTAGGAGACTGAACCCAGATCAGAAAATGTAGGGTCCACAGGTGACAGAGGGGACTGAATTTTCTCCTTCACTGAATAAGTGAAACCCTAGGGAGATCCCTAGGGTGCAGTCTTCCATCATGGTCTGACAATTGCTGGGCCCTGGAGATGTATTGATTTAAAATCTCCAAATTGCAATTCAACAAAATTCTGGAGATCAGCTATGCCTAAAACCCACCTCCAGAAGGTCTACCCACAGGATTTCCTCTCTCACTCCAGCAAAACCATCCTGATGGCAGGCATCACAGTCCAGGCCATGCCACCTAGCACTGCTGAGAAGAGAGGATGAGAATCTTTTGAACTTTATTGAACAAAAATTCTTTAACTTTTAATGGAGATCTTTCTTCTTTTTTTTTCATTTTAATTGTGACCCTAATAATTCATGAACATTTATTCATATTCATATTTGTGCTTTTATGCATTTCTAGCATTTTTGAAGCCAATATTTTTTATGGATCATTTTTTTGAGGACTAGGATGTTTGTTTAATAATTTCAATTTTGGTTTGTATTCTTTTATTTTTAATTTTATTAACTTTTAAAATTTGTATCATATATATATCATATATATATATATATATATATATATATATATATATATATATATATATTTCTCTCACTTATCTGTTTCCCTTGATATTCCTTCTCTCTTGCCTTCCACTAACAGTCAAACTCTATTGTTCTCTCTTTCACTGTTTCTTTAAATTTTTACTTCTATTTTCTCTCCTCCTCCTTCATAATCATCACTTCCTACATCACTTTTGTTCTCTTCCTGTCTACCATTTGAAATTGCAAGCCTTTTTTTTTTTTTTTTGCAAATTTAATGCTTTTACTGTGGGCAATAACTGATCATATCATTTTTGTTTATTGTGACAATTAATGTTGAATGTTGTACATGTCATAGTAGGAACTATTTGGGTTGCTGTCTTACATTGTTCACCTTGTTTGTTGTTATTATTTGTCTCTCCTAAACGTTGAGGTACTGGAAACCTTCAGTGATACCATAAGTCTACAGGGTGGAAACTCTACTGCCTCAGATAAATACTGTTAGATGGGTAGACACAAAAATAACACGAAAAAGTAAGGAAACCAATCACCCTAAGCAAATCAACTTACTTCAGTAAAATAATCCATCAACACCACAGTGAAAGAAATGTCAGTGAAAGACTTTAGAATGTACAGAAATAAATTGATGAAAAAAGCATTTGACAAAATACAGTGCTTGTTCATGTTCAAAACATGAGAAAAGCTAAGGATTGTAGGAACGTCCATCAACATTGTAAATGCTATATATGCTAAACCCA